TCATTTTTTTTTTTTTTAAAGTCTTGTTCACACTTAATTTCGGGTGGTTGTTTGGAGCCCTGTTTGCTTGGATACACTCCACGAGTTCCGACTCTACGTCCCAGCACAGACCAAGGACACACACCGGCTGGCTGTGCTGGCTGTGCTGGCTGGCTGTGCTGCTAGCGTTTTGATTGGCTGTCTCAGAAAATCAGCAGTGAAAGCACTATGACAGAATTGCATGCACATTTTGACGCCACCACTTGACACAACAGAACAGAAGAGAACGCAGCCAGAGGAGAAGTCACAGCCATTAGGCATTAAGCTGATTCTGCCTGGCGTCTGTCTCCTTCTGTCGTCTGCCTTCAAACTCATGTACTGTTCATTCCTGTATTTATCTGACGCTGTGTATTCCACCCAATTAACTGTGTACTGCAGGCTGGGTCACAAACAGTATAAGTACTGAGAAGTACTTAGAAGAATCAACTTTAACTATTTACACACTTAATTTGACACTAATTCATTAATTGACATATATATTTATATCTATAGTCTATAGTTTATATATATACAAATATATACACCCATTTATGTGTTTGTATAGTTATATATCATATATGTATATATATATACATATATCATATATGGATATGTATATATATATATACTGTACATATAAATATGAATATATACATAATATAATATATTTTTAAAAAATGTTACTGAAGTTTGGCAGCCGTGGTTTAAATCACGTATCAATCTCAGTATATGTATATATGTACATATATACATATAAATATGAATATATACATACATGTTTATATATGTGTGTAGATATATACAAATATATAGACCCATTTATATGTTTATATAGTTATATAACTATATATGTAGATATAAACATATAAATATGAATATATACATGTTTTTAATATGTGTGTACATATATACAAATATATATACCCATTTATATATATATAGTTATATATCATAAATGTACATATATACTGTACATATAAATATGAATATATAGATACATGTTTATATATGTGTATACATATAACACTGAATATATACATATATGTTTATATGTGTGTACATACATTTATACATATATGTATACCAGACACTACAGTGGTACTGACATTTGAATAGTATCAAATACTTTGAAGACCAGAGGAGATCAGGGCCACTGTGTCACAGGTAGCCTGTACGGAGGGCAGTGATTGGACAGAAGATGGAATTTCAGCGCT